AACCTTTCTTATCTTCATCCCCTTTGGCATAGAATTTTAGGGCAAGCCTGGCTGCTGGTGAAGAGAATATCATCATCAGAAGTGCTATAACATTGATTTAATGCTTTTCTAACAAAGAGGTGAATCAATAGTAAAAAGTAGAAGTGAAGCCAAACTGTAGAGAAGCAGCCTAAGCACAGGAAGCCCTGTGGGACCCACAGAGACGTTTTCAGCAACTAGCAATGGTGATTTCCAGTCCAGAGCCCACCCAAGAAGAACACGAGAAGCCCAGTTCAGCCAGGTGACATGGACATTGTCAGAGAATGTCATAACGTACCTCTGTATTTATATTCACCTCTTATACTTCTGTATGTATTTCTCTTTGGAGTTTTTATTATGAGAGTTCCTCACTAGGCCATCCGCAACTGCTGAAACATCAGTACCAGTCGCAGGTGACACTCCCAGGCAGCCCTGGTTTTCTGAGACAGCCTGGCTATGCTGGGCCGGGACTCCCAAGAATCACGTCCATCTTATGTGACTGCGTTCCGTTAACCAAGGTGACCCAGACTGCAGCCATGGTAAGCTGTCTCTTCTGGGAGCCTCCGCCTGGGGACCCTGGACCGCAGAGGCTGCAGGCCACGGCTGTCCACTCCCAGCACAGCGCTCTCCTGGAGAAAGGCCCTCTGTGGAGCTCCCTGAGCTCCGAGGCTGCTCCTCGTGTGGGCTGTGGTGCAGTGTGACCTCCCACCCGGGACCCTCCCGGGAAAACATTTTAAACTGTCTCTAAGCTGGCCAGGCATTTTCTGTAGCTTGCAATCAAGAGAACCTTGCAAGTTAAGCACATCAAGACTTCGTTAGGCTACATGTTGTTCAAAGAGAGAGACGGGGGTGGGACTGGCATAATTCCTACATTTGCAGCAAACATTGACCTCCATGGGCTGGGAGGCTGCTGCTGTCGCGCAGGGTGGAGGGGCCGGCAGCTCAGAGGTGGCGAGGCTTGCTCGGCTGCTGCAGCTCGGGCAGGACCAGGCTGCAGATGTGGCCGGCAAGCGCCTTGGCGCGCACGTCAGCGTCGGCCTGGCTTTCCACCACTCCTGTCTGGGAAACCCAGCAGCGGCACTCAACTTTCCCTTCTCCTCACTGCCCCTCAGAGCCCCTAGAGAAGGGGAAGCTTACGGGAATGTAAATAAAACCAAAGGGCAAAGCTATTGTGTGGGGCTCTCCCACTCTTCTGCCCTAACCTTAACCTAGGGCCTTAGGAAAAATTTTGAGGCAGTAAAATGTGTAAACCACTGCCTCATATTGAGATTTGCCAATAAACAAAACAGGGCTGAGCTGTGCCTTTGGTGGAAACAGCATTTACCCTCCACACTCTGCCAGGCAGCACGGCTCTGAGCCACGTGGGTCCCCAGAATGGGCTTGGTGCTTGTGCCTCATCACGCACCTGTGCTGCTGCACTACACACTACAGACCTCACGAAACACGGACACATGCAGGGCGACAGCACGGGCACAGGGCCTGCCCTGTGCGAGGTACGAGGCCGCAGGCGAGTGTGCAGAGGGTAAGCTCAGGACCAGCATGGCAGTAGCCCTTGTGTCCCCTAGGTGCCAGCCTCCTGCCTGAGGTGCCCGGCAGTCACTGCTGTAAGCTCACAGTGACTGGCACAGAGTTCATGTGAGCTTTGCGTCTCGCTGCCTCCAGCATCACAATTATCTCTGTGGGAATAGTTTGCAGAATCTCTTAAGTATTCTGCTAGTTTGTGAGGGTTACAGCTAAAAATATTCCAAATCCCCTATCTAGTTAACTTCCAGGTCCCTTCCTTTCCTTCCCTTCTAGGTAGCCCCTACCCTGACACCTGATCTTTTCAGGAATAACTTTCCTGAATGGATGCATAAATAGCAATAAAGTTTAGTTTTGCCAGTTTTCACGCTTTATGTAAGTGTAATAAGATCACTACGTATTATTCTTTTGTTATCTTTCTTTCAATATTGTGTCCACAGGATACATCTGTGTTACTGTATACAGCTCCAGTCCATTTTTCATTGCTGTATAGTAGTTCAGCACATGAGTACACTTTGCACATATCTCTGGATATACCTGAGCATATATTTCTCTAGAATACACAGATATGTACATACACACACACACACACACACACACACACACACACACAAATAGCTCACAGAGCTTTAAAAAACCTAAGGGAAAATTATCCCAGTGCATCTCTCAGCATTACTTTTTTTGGTACCCGGGATTGAACTCAGGACCTTGTGCTTGCGGAGCAGGCGGCGGCACCACTGAGCTACATCCTCGGCCTCAGCCTTACTTTTAATATTAACTCTTACTAGATTTACCTTTCTGTAGATTCCAATTCCTGCACATTCACTAAATATGAACTACGACATTAAGTGCATCTTATTATTCTGTTAAAAGCCATGTGCCAAGGGCGGGGTGGGGCTCACTAGTGACACACCTGCCTGGCTAGCGCAAGGTCCTGAGCTCCATTCCCAGTAACGAAAAAAATTGTTTTTAAAAAAGTAGTGTGCCGAATCTCTCTCTTCCTCCCCTCTTAATTTTTACATGTTACCTGTACATTTTTCCTTTTAATAGTCAATATTGTGTACCCAGAGACAATAAGATGTTCTTTCAAATTTTAAAGCAATTTTGCACCAAAAAGCTTTCAAGTTAACATTGACCAAGGCTGGAAAGCCAAAGAAGATAATTCTGTGGCCCAATTAAGGAGAAGTCCAATAATGAAGAGTAACCCTACGTTCTGATGACTGCCCTCCCAGGGGAGCAGGAGCAGGGGCAGGGGCAGGGAGACGGCAGTGGTCTGCCTGCTTCGCAGTGCACAGCTGACACCAGGGCTGTGCTGGGCGTGTGGGCGGGTGACACTCTGGACCTCGCAGCCCCTTCACTCCTCAGAACCTTAGTAAGGGGGTCCCCTCAGCCTTCCCCTTCACTAGAAACTGAGGTGCAGAGAAGGGAAGGAGCTGGCCATGATCCCATAGCTAAGTGTGGTAGAGCAGGATTCAAGCCACACACCCGGAGCCACACCCCGCTCAGCACTTCACTGCCTTGCACAGGGTGAGCTGTGCTGCTGCCGCTGCTGCCACTGTTACCGCTGTCTCCACAACAAGAAGAGTCCGTTAAGATCAGAGAAAAAGGCACGAACCACAGGGGGAAAATGTATATACACTTGTTTTAGTTTATGAGAAATTTGTGCAAATGATTGAAACCAAGCAACTCTCTAATTCTGGGAGAACTAATTAAGAAATGAATTAAGGGATTCACCGGGCACCCAAATTAGTCATTAAGGCACGAAGATCTGGAGTTCTGGTCTAAATCCAGCTCTGGCACTTGCATCCAAAATAAACATGACCAGATAAGTACCACAGCTCACAATTAAAATGGATTTATATGGCTTATGTGTCCACCCGGGACAGGCCTCTTCCTAATGAATTTGGACACCTCTTCAGCGACTAGGTTTCATCTGCCACCTTCCTTGTCTTCTGTAACTGCTGGCAGTAGGGTTATGTTGAGGGAGAATCATTTCAATCAGTGGTGTCTGCAGTACTAGCATAAAAAGATAGCAGCAAAGCCTTTGAGCTGTAATTAGAAAATCCCTTAAGTGTGCTCACGTGGCATATGCTTTAGAATACTACCAACTGTCAAGGCCAGTCACAGAGGGGATGTTTAATGTCACCGCTCTGGAAGATCAGTGTTGCAACCTGAGAGGAGATCAGCTCTGCAGGCCAAGCCATTCCTGCTCTCCACCCTGACATGATGAGTGACGGGAAGCTAGGGGCCTTACCCCTTGACGAAAAGATGACCAGAACTGTTTCCAGCTAGTGCATCTTTCCATCAAGATGTTGCCTCCCAGTAGAATAATCAGGATGTCTGCCTGTTTGGTGTACGTTCCAAGGAAACAGGAATCGACTGTGCCCTTGCTTGTCTGATGGAAGAAGGCTGCTCGAGTCTACAGAGAAACTCTTCCATGGCCTGACCAAAAGAACAGCTCCTCTGTGTGTGCACGTACAGGGAAACAGATGGAAAAACCCAGCAGCTGTTTCTGTGACTGTTCTCTTTCAACAACAGTAAAGACAGTGTTCTCACGGTGACTGGGGTACGAGGACGTTCAACATTCTAGTCCACGCATGGAATACTGCTGACTCTCACCCAGGTTAATGGCTCTTTTCAAAAAGTTAATTATCTTACTACTAAAATTCCAGGGTGATGGCAAAAGAATCGAGTTTAGATTAAACACTGATAGAAATATATCCAGGAGGCACTAAGGCCTCATTAATTAGGATTGGCTCAATGGGAATTTATGATTATTTGAGAGGATCTGGACCAAAAATGATATTTTCACAAGGAATAGAGACTGCTGGGGGTGGAGGTGGAGGCAATAAAAACATTTCAGAGTCTGTAGGAACCTAAATCAACAACAGGTTTTGTGTCCAGCATAGACTTTTGACATATCCATCCCAACACCAATAACTGATAACAGTAATAATCACGTTTTACTGGATGTCAACCCTGTTTAAGTTTCCTTTACTTGTACTAGTTTGAGACACCCAATAGTTCTCCAAGACGGGCATAATTATCCACCATAATTATCAGAGAGGAGATGAGGCTCAAGCAGGGGAGGTACGAAGACCATGTGACTGTTAAGCGGCAGGCAAAGGCCAAGCCAGGCTGGCTGCCCTGGGTCTGCTCTTTCCACTCATCCTTCAGGCCGACTGAGTGCATGCCGCGGTACGGAGACCACAAGTCCGCCTTCCGGACTCACCAGCAACAGTGACAAGGGCAGGAACGCTGTCTCGCGAGGAGGGAGACGGCAGCACTCCCACCACCCAAGACTCTGTACATCACATGCAGATCTATAGAAGGCCTTCCCTCCCTTCCCCTCCCTCCCTTCCGGTGGCCTTGCTGCGGAACTCCGAAGTGCTCTACACGCAGGACACCCCTCCGTCTCAACGCGGGGTGCTGGGGCCATAGTCTTCTGGCCACATACTCACAGCACAGGGCAGCTTGAGCCGAGGCCACCCGAGGCTGTCAGGCAGGTCAGTCTGCTGCAGTCTCCGGAGGCGGTCACAGAGAAGGAGAGGACCACCTACTCACCAGGGGATTTGCAGATGCGCTCCCGAAAGTAGTATGGGTCCTGGAATGCTCTACAAGGAAGGAAAAGTGGAAGTCAAGCAGGTCTCACAGCAGCAGCCTCGCCGTCCATCCCTGGCACACCGGCATTCAGGCCCAGCCTCCAGGGGCTGGCAGGCAGGGAACTGACCTTCACCCACGACCTCGCAGCTCTGTGCCCTACGCAGATGGAGAAGCACTCTGTGCCCCACGTGCTGAGCTGTAAGAGGGGGACAATGGGACCTCTTCACCAAGTTATTAATGGTGACACGCAACACGTGCAATGCACTTAACACACCTCATACACAATAGTGACACTTCAGTAGCAATAACATGGAACACTCACTGCTTGACTGGAAAGTGCCCGCATTGTTCTAGGCCACTGGTCACACAGACTAACTCTCTCAGTGCTCTGCGAGAGACACTGCAATTGCCGGCTTACTTTTTAGTTTTTGAGATAGGGTCTTCTATAGTCCAGGCTGGCCTTGAACGTACAGAAATCCTCCTGACTCAGCCTCCTAAGTGCTGGTATTACAAGCACGTGCCATCACACCCGGTAGTCACTGGCATCTACAGATGCCATTAATAGAGGCACAGAGAGACCAAGTTAACTACTTCGTGAAACTCTCCAGTGATAGGTGGAGCTGGGGTTCCACCTGAGACAATCAGGACCTCGCAAGCGCATGGACTGGGAGCCGCGTGACATCCTGCCTAATGAATTGCGAACAAGTGTCAGCTGTTGTTATTACTGCTGCAAACCCTCTCCTGCCCGGAAAGCCTGTGCTGCACACACCGCCCACAGGACTCGGGCGCAGCCGAGCGCCGCGCATGCAGGGCGCCAGGGCATAGTGAACACTCACTCACGCAGCCCTGCGGTCTCGTAAGCACTGCTGAGTCCCTGCGTCTCCACTGCTCTGCTGAGAACTTCAGGGACCCAGATGCCCAGTCACAGCCTACAGAGTTAGAAGCTCGGCCTCCATGAAATGAGCGGAGAAAACAGAGAGGGAAGGGCCGGGAGAATAGGACAGCCACAGGGGCCGGGGCTGTGCCTGGCTCTACCCAGCCCTCTGGGCGGCCTCCTCCAAACCAGCTGACATCTCTGGGTTTCACACCGGAATGCGAGGACTGAGCTCCAGGCTTTGAAGCTGTGATGCTCATCCACAAATCTGACTTTCTTTCTATCAGACTACTTTCCCCCCAAGACTCCATTTTCTGAGCGACTATGTTATAACCCTTCATTTACCCAATACACGGACTCTACGCCATGTCAGGATAGTGCCAAAGCTTTCAACAGGCGACCCGATCTACATTCTGTAATTAGTTCCGCAAGCCCAAGGCACTGTTATCTTGGGGCTTCTGGGCAGCCAGACAGCCAGGGAGGTAGCAGCCGGGGAACAAGTGCCGGAGGACACACCCAGTTTGCCCATCTGGAACCCTGGGAACTGCCTGGAAGAAATCTGCACCAACCCAAAGCCCAAGCTCCCTATGTCCCTGGTGCCCAGCAGCTTGTGAGGGAGGCCAGCATGCTCAGCTGATGGCGTGGATAAAAGGATCCACGAAAATAAGGCAGAAACTAGACAACTAAGGAGACGGGAGGTCAAGTCTGTTTCCTAAAATAGTGCCGTTTACATGGGACAAACCAAAGAGACAAGGACGCAGCTGGCACTAAACTCCTTGATTTTAATAATGTACATGGACAGCCACTGTGACAGCAGTCTGCTCATGCGCGCATGCATGTGTGTGCATGTGTTGTGTGACACATGCATCTTTACTGTGTTTGGGAAACACTGACTGCTACACAAGATGCTTCTGACTTTATTTAAAGATCAGCTCATCACACTTAGATACATTTGCTTTCACAAAATTTCTTGGAGGGAAAAAATTTAGTGAATGTAACACTTCCATGAAAAAGGAGTTGACTGCAAAATATACTTTTCAAACTTTTGACAAGAACAATTTTTTAATTTTCTTTGTGCACACAAAAGGCAAACATTGTTGCACTGAGACTGTAATAAATAAGTTGTCAAGATATCAAATATTTATAGATTTAATTTTTAATAAAAGCTTTTAAACATACTCCAAAATATCCATTAATATTTGATATGGAAAGAAGTGGCCTTTTGGTAAATCCATTGCCCACTGCGAGTCAGGTCGGCAGATGTCTAACAGCTCTTGGGGAGAGCGAGGAAGGTATTCTCTGAGAGGTTAAGCAGCCAAGGCATACAGTCCTAGAGGCACAAACTACTCAGACACGTCCTGTGTTGCCTTTGGAGATGTTCAGGTAACAGACACACCCTTCCTGCTGTTTCCACAAATTACCCTGTGCGTGGAGGCCTGCAGAGGATGTGGCTCCCAAATTGGTTCCAAAAGGGATTCCAAAGTTTTACACAATGCAACACTGCTGGGGGACATCATAAACTCCAAAGATGATAACTCTGAGCCACAGTATGCATTTGGTTATACAAATTATAGTTTTCTTAGGCCTGGAAAGAAAAAAACCCCCGAAATTTTGGTAGTGATTATCCTTGGGGTAAAGGATTATGGGTAGTTTTTTCTTTATAATTTTCTTTGCTTTCTAAACTTGCTATAATGAGTATGTATTACTGAGACAAGTTGAAAACACTTTTTCCTAGTCTCATGATATATTATGAAAGCAATCTCACATAGTAAAATGAAGAGGCTTTAGAATCAGGCAAATGGGTTCAAATCCCAGCATGTTCTCCAGTATCTTGATGCCCTTTGATAAGTTTCTCAGCAGCCCACCTTGCACATCTCTTTATCTGTAAAATGAGAATAATACATGCCCTGAAGCCCATGGAGGATAAGTTAGGGTTTTCTGATTACAAACAGTAAACCAGTTTGTTGGTGTTTATACACCGATGCTTCAGGCCATTTGTTTAAAAAATTCTGTGAGTTTGTAATAACTTTTATAAATCTTCCAACCGTTTAAAGTTCAGAAAAGATTAAGTAGTGACCTACTCTCCTTACCAGATTCCTACAGTCCTAGACGCTAGTTCACCTTGGGTGGTCCCTGCTGGGGTGGGAGTTGGAGAAGTGTTGAAGCAGATCCATTTGAAGACAGAGAAAGAATCCACAGCTCCCACAGCCAAGACCTTGTCCATGCTGTGACTCTTTATGATTAAAAGCAGCAAAATAAATTGTGGACTGCTTAAATGTGGGCAAGGGGCAAAATTACAGATTCCCTGGCTTTTCTTTCATTTTTATGATAGCTATACTGGTCTTTTCATCCTATTCCTCAGAAGATAGTTCCACCTGACGTTAGCCTGGGTAGTTAGGTTTATAATAAAATATATGCACTCAACAAAATACGACTATTGGGGATATGCTTCCTTGGATACATGTTGCTGTGCCTTGACTACAGCAAGAAATATTGATTTAACTGACTTTAATATCAAGTCAGGTATTTGTTGACATGTGGAAATGAAAAATATCAAAACCATGAAAAGCTTGATATATAGGTCAAACCCCACGTGGCTCATTACAAGGGACTGCCCAATATCCTCTGCTATACTGGAATGTGCTACAGATGCAAGTCCGAGTCACAGTTACAAGAGATTTTCATTATAATGGGATTTTCCACATAAATGAATATGGGTATAGATTTTTATGTAGTACAATTTATTGGAGAAAAGCCATTACTAACTTGACCCCTTCTTCTCTCCACTCTGGAAGCACATCTTGTTTTCCACGCAGGGTAAGTGGGTTTTGTTCCTTTTCAGCATCTTATTTTCCTTGTTCCTTTTACCATGTCTAGTATAGACCAAATACTTAAGGAATCACTGATGAAGAAATGAGCCGAACAAATACTTTGGTACCAAAGCAAAGGAGGGAAGTTCAGAGTACTTTCCTGTTTAGACGGAGAAATGAAATTTAGAAACTGATCCCAAATGAGACTAGCAGACAGGTGTAGCCATGCCCACCTAGCGTGCCCAGGGAGTCCTGGGCTGAGTGGGAGTGGGTCAGCTCCCTTTGGCTAAGTGGTCAGAGAGGCCCAAAGCATCCTAAGGCACTTGGCGTACACTCCCACCCTGGGAAATCCCAGAGGGGCATTAACTGCCCTAGACAGCCTCAGAAGCATCCTACAGGACAGCCCAAGGAGGGGGACCAATGAACAAGGCCTATCTTCCTAAGGGACTGAGAGGAAAGGCCACCCACCAGGACTGTCAGGGAGTTAGTAAAAGCCAGGGAGACAGGGCCGAGGATTTAGCTCAGTGGTTCCACCGGCTGCCTTGCAAGTGCAAGGTCCAGAGTTCGATCCCCGGTACAAAAAAAAAAAAAAAGCCAGGGAGATAGCCCCTCAGCAGCCCAGGGGACAAAACAGGAACCAGAGAAGTACAGCTCTGGAGCACTTACCCACAGGACTGGGCCTGGGGAGGAACCAGGAGAGGCTTCCGAAAAGCCTGCATGGGTGTTGGCAGAGCCAAAGCTTATGACTCTGACTTCTCCGTCTCCCCTACTAGTTCCCACAAGAACTTCAAGGATCATAGTGTTTCCTCCAGTTTTCTACAATGCAATACTATTGCTGGAATATTTCTTTGACCATTTTGTCTTTCCCTTTGAGCTTTTTAAATTGAAAGCTAAAATATGCATCAGATATACCAGTCTTGCTTCTATTGTAGGACAACACAACAAAACTAAATGCTTGCTTTTACCAAGGGCCTTACTGGGGCTGAAGGAAACACCTACTGGAGTCAGAGGCCTCTTCCTCCTCTGAGCATCCAGATTTCAGGAGAGTCCAAACAGCAGGGGCTTTCAGGGCAGAAAAAGGCTCTGTCCCATTGTCACAGGACAAGGTAAGGAAAGAGTTGGGAGGGTCTGTGAGGTTGTCCCCAGAACTGGTACAATTTTACATATTTTTTACAAATATTCTCATCTGGAAATACTTAAAATGGTAAATTGGCTCTTCCTCCTCCTCTCGGGAAATGAACTTTTTGAGTGAACCAACTATGCCTGTCCAACATATTTGATCCTCCAAATGGTTTCTGAGTAGGCAGTGGTCATTAACTACACTGGC